CAGCCGTGGCAAATGACAGTCTATCAGCAGTCAAGAGCCATTTCTGCTCTTTCCTGTGTGAAGTCCCTTGTGCAAGCAGAAGAGAGTAGAAGCTGTGTTTGATCTTCCCGCCCTTTGCCCTGCACCTCCTACCAATTTTACTGCAAAATATCTGTTTACTTTTCTCCCTCTTGCCCCTTTGGCATTCTCGATAGAGCCCTCCATAAGCCCTTAACTGCTCTTGTCTACATTACTACAATAGCTGCCTGAAGCGTGACCCTTGGCCACTCTTTTGGGCACAAAATACACTGTCTACTCCCTAACTACACCCCCCCGGGGGTTGCATCTGAAGCACAAAAAGATTGTATTTCCTAGTCTCTACATCAGTTCCCTCTTCACTCCTTCCCATTCTCATTTTCCCATAGGGTCAAGTTCTAGAACCTCAATATGAAGGCTCACATGGTTGCATCCCTTTCTGCCTCTCCCACTTTATCTAGCCTGCTGTTGTGCTGCCTTCTGAACTGCAGTCAGCTAACCTTCTGTCAAGTCCTTGAATATGCCTCACACCTTCTTGTCTCTGGCCTTAGCAAATGCTTTTCCTCTCTGCCCAGGTAACACTTCTCACTCTCCAATTAGCTACTCCTCTTCTTCTGTAAAATCTCAATTCCAATGTCACCTCCCTAAGGAAGCCTTTTGTAACCCTCCGGATTAGGACAGACTTCCTTTGTGTATGACCTCATGTACTGCTCTTTCATAGCATTCAATGAAATAGGGTTTTTCTCTGCCTTCTGAAGGGAGGTCCTCCTTGGGGAGGATGAACCAATGAAAGGAGTTTGCTTCCTCCACTGAAACAAATTTGGTTCTTGTTTTTCAAGGTCCTTACCAACCTTAGGAGGCCGTCAAGCTTCGTAAGTCAAATAAGGGACAGTATAAGCGCTTGTTGTTTATGTTACAAAACAAAGTGTTTTTAGACCAGCACTCTGGCTATTCTCTATTTTTAGACCAGCACGTCTGGGTACCTTGCCTTTTGGAGAAGGATGGGCATGTATGAGCATGACATCACAGGGCACTAAGAACTGCCATCTTGGGGACAAAGGGAGGTCCCCAGTTAGGGGTACTAGCGACTGGTGGCAGTTGTTGCCTTGGGAGGCCTCACCACAGCCTTGACTGGCAGCCTCAGTCAGACCGTGGAAGGTCACCATTCAACCAGGTCGTGGTGATATTGTCAGGAGAGGCACATCAGATACCAAGATTTGGGCCTCTTCAATGTAGAGTTACCTCCTTTTTGGACAGTGGAACATCTTGAAGGTCTTGTAAGACAGAAAGAGGAAAAGGGACCCATGGCAGTAATATTGACTTCTTTCAATCTCATCCACGGGGCCAACACTTGTCGATTTACTTTGGATATTTGACCACCCTGGGTGCACTCCTGGGTCATGGCATACTTTGTACCAACTGCAGTCAAAATGTACATTTAATGACTATAGAATGCAAAAGGTCAGGATCACATTTATATGTATAACTTATAAACCTCTGTGCTTAGCACATTGTTTTACAATGCTTAAGAAATCTTGAATGGATGTTGAAATTCCTAATGAATTAAATGTACAGTGGAATGGAGAGAGTCTGAGGAATGGAGCTCCCTTCTTGTGGGGTATGGGATGAAAGTTGAATTAATAGATTAAAGAGGTATATAGAGTAGAATATAGTCTGTAGACTTTTTGCCACTCTGTTTTGATACTATTCTAAAGTAAATTGTCTTCTTGCGTGCTGTTTCTAAATCATTGATGGGAACTCCCTCAAATGCTGTCTTGAGAAGGATTATGAAGTCACAAATGGCATTATTGGAAAAGATTAAATAGCCCGTGTTGATTTCAAAAGTAGCACTTTTTCATTTAGCTAATTTTTTCTTCTTTCTCCCTACTTTAGTGCTTGGGGGTGGGTATCGATGCTCCTCAATGCTACGGCATTTCTACCGGCAACAAGCACAGCTGAGATGGGAGCATAAGCAGAGGTGGCAGAGCGGCAGCTGGGTGTTGGAGAGCTGAGGTGGAAACACACGCATTCACTGGGAGAGTTTGGTCAGATTTCGTGTAGAAGGCATTTGCCATCGACTCTCATCTCTTCTCTCCTACTTGCTTTTGTACTTACCATTGGAGAACATAGCAGAGGCATGCTCTGAAAACAGAAGTGTTGGACAGCTCAGGCAGCTGCCTGGGGGCAAGGACAACATAGAATAGTGTGAAGGGAATGTGGGGAAGGGAGTGGAGGAACATGGCTTGCAATGAACCAGGAATACCATCCAAAGACAGAGTACATAACCCAATGCATTTCAAAGTTTTTCTGCTCCCTGGCCTTACCTTAAGCAGTGAGAATCCCTGAGGCATTTCTTTGAAGTTCTTCCCACCAGATACTTGAGTATCCCCTGAGTGTCCATCATGGGATTCTGAGTTCCCTTGCCTGTTTCACAAGCACTTTGGGCCCATTAGACATTCAGGGGAATGGAGCGAGTCTGAGGAAGGGAGCTCTTGTCAGAGGTGAGAGAACTGATCAACTAAGGGAAGAACCTCAGCTCCTCTAGACCCCCACTGTGCTGAGGCCCACCTTCCATTGCTGTTCATCCAGAGAACACTCAGAAAATGGCTTGGGCTGAGCTAAACATTGGATTTTAAATCAATAGGGGGTAGGGGCATTTTTACAACCTCTTAGGCTTCTGCCTTCAGCCTCCCAACCATTCCCACTTCTACACAGCCTCAAACTTTGGATACACCTTTCCTCTGGCAAATTTGTTACCAAAGGAGGTGATACTGACCTCAGGAAAAGAAAAGGGGAAGAAAAGTTAGTACTGTCTCCCAACTTTGCTGTAGGAGCATTTGTGATTTTGCTTCTTCCAGAAGACAGCTCTGCCTCAACTAATTTGCCATCAGTTAGGATATTTTCATTCTTGTAAAGAAATCCACCAGAAATAAAAAAAAAAAAAAGCAAGATAAGACAACAGTGAGATATCATGAGCAAGTTTGTAGATTTTTTTTTAGGTGCTGGTACCCGGTGCAGGGGAGGAATGTATCAGATGGTGGCTAAAAGCAAAGTCTTCTATGTCAAACAAACATAAGTTTGTCTCCCATTGTCACTGCTAAGGAGTCATATGGCTTTTGTTAAATAGCTTACCTTCTCCAAGCCTAGTCTGTGCATTCCTTAAATGGATGTAGCGTTATTGTGCAGAATGCATGAGACATGTGTGTAATTGCTTAGCCTACAGGTGCCATGAGGCACTATAAACGGGGGCAATTTCTTGATGCATATCAAGGCCTTACCCTTTGACACAATAGATAACTCCCAGGGATGTAGCCTAAAGAGAAGAAAATGTCTAAACAACTAGAACAAATGATTAATGCATGAATATGCTCATAGCAGGGTGCTTGATGAGTGTACTATTGGTAGAAGTTTATTTGGGGACTGTTACTTGTTTTCAGAAATACAAGATTATCAGAAACAAACATGGTTGGGACCTAGGGATGTTTTTCCAGACTATGAGGTTTCTGGAGCTGAGTGATTTACCTGGTCTAGAACTAAGAGCAGTACTAGGTATCTAACCCACTACCTGGCCACCTCAGTGGGAAGCTGGATTCAGGCAGCCAGTCAAGCCAGGGTGTTTCCATTTCACAAATCCCTGTCTTTTTTGTCTATGTGGCACTGGCTACGGGAGTGATTCTAAAAGCTGAGCCACAGCATCATGTAAAGGCAGCATTCAGTGGCCTTGAAAGGAAAGATATAGAGAGAATCTGATGTATCTATGACTATTCAGACGAGAATATGGTATATGCTCACCTGAATAAACCCACTGCATTGTTGTGGAGATTAGTTTGGAGTGTAAAAGAGACAAATTGTAGGGATGGAAAATGGGATGTAGTTTGTTACTGGGTTCGTGATAAAAATTCCCAGTGGCTTTCATAATATAACATCTATTCACAATTTATAAGGCATTTCAGGCTTTTTTTTCCTTCATCTAGTAGAAGTGATACAGCACATGGCTCAGTTGGACACAGACATACATTTCTTTATTTTCCTGTTAACCTCCTGAGGTAGAACCTTACTTAGTCATTCTTAAATAAACTTGGACCAGTTTTTCCCTCACTTATGCAAAAAATAATCTTCCTCTTCTTTCTGGTTCTAGTCTATGCACACTTAACATTCCTCACATCTAGTCCTCTCATCCACCTCCGTGTTACTGAAAATAGTCTTAATAAATTAAAAATCTGGTCAATGTCACTTTACTGCTTCTAAATTTGAATGCTAACTTTAGCAACTATGAAAGGGCTTTTAAACTCTGCACCTACTCATCTTTCTAGCCTCATCTGCTTCATGGTCCCCAGCCCTCCCTGCCCCACTTAGCGTTCAGAAATGATGAGATCCCTGTAATTCCCCGGGGGATGCCATTTTGCTGATTTCTCTAAGCCTTTGCATACACAGTGCCCTTTGCTGAAAAGGCTAGCCAGGGCATGATCAACACTCTCCTTCCCCACTTATTTCCAGGAAAGCATCACCTCCCTTGTGAAACCTTTGCTTGCTTGGTTATTTCTTCTACCAGGCTCCCATGGAAGCTGAGGTCTCTCTCTCTCTCTCTCTCCTTTAGCCCATTCTGCATTGTAACAAAGTTTTTTTGTGTGTGTCACTTTAAAAGTTATCCTAGTGCGTGGCATATAATTGACTTCACAGTACATATTTATTCAATAAGTGAATGTAATTATTTTTATATATTTGATATTTTATATCTTCCCTAGAAAATGTTGATGTTTCCCATGGCCCTCCTTGCAGATAGCACTGTGATCCTTAAAACAGGAATGGAAAACAATCATGTGGGTGTATGTGAACAAAGCTGACATATTTTTCCCTTTAAGATCTTGCAGCTGAATGTGGAATGATCTTGAAATTAAGGTCAGCTCCAGGTGGTTGTTTATATCAGCTGTCAGATTGCAGAATAAAAAATGGCTTTTATATGTTTGATTTTTATTGTTTTCCAGGGCAATGTCACTTTTTCCTGCTCCGAACCACAAATTGTTCCCATCACATTTGTCAACTCCAGCAGCAGTTATTTGCTGCTGCCCGGCACCCCCCAAATTGATGGACTCTCAGTGAGTTTCCAGTTTCGAACATGGAACAAGGATGGTCTGCTTCTGTCCACAGAGCTGTCTGAGGGCTCGGGGACCCTGCTGCTAAGCCTGGAGGGTGGAACCCTGAGATTGGTGATTCAGAAAGCGACAGAACGCGCAGCTGAAATCCTCACAGGTACTGTCTGCTGACACCTTCTAGGTCGGTTTCTTGTTAGCCAAGTCAACAGATGTTTGAGATTCTGACCAAAACCTAAACGATCCAGCTCCCAGGGATGCAGAATGACCCAGTATTCACAAATTTCTCCAAGTCTGAAAAGGCACCATTATTTTTTCTTATTAGAAAACACACTGAATGCAGATTTAACTATGTAAACTGTGGCAAGTCCCTTAATTTCTTTGTCCCTCGGCTGTCTCATCTGAGAACTGGGAAGAAGAATTCCTACCTAACACTACTGGGCATAACAGAGTCCACTTACACCCCACTTCACTAGGTTCTTTACAGAAATGTCATGTGTTATACAGAATATTCACATGCTTAGTTGTGGAAGGTATGCTTTTCCACTTTATAGATGAGAAAATGAAGACTCATGGAGGCTAAATATCTTCCAAAATCACGTGGTGATAAATGATGGAATTACAATTTCATCCTGAATTTCTCTGACTTCAAAGTCTATAGTTTCCCAGAATACCACACGACCACAGCACTTGTTACAGATGTCAAATTCTATTTCAAGCAAAGATTAGTGACTTTTTAAAAAATATTTTTTAAAATATGTTTTTAAGACATTAAGTAAGTACAAGTACTATGGCATCTGGGTATGGCAAACCTTTTTAAAATGGTCCTCAGTTAGCTGAAGTTTGGAAAGCAGTCACTTTTATAGCAATATGGTATAGATTCTAATGTAAAGCAATATGGGTCAGATCTATGAACAAGTCATGTTTTTCAATATTCTGGCTCTTCGTCTCCTGTTTATTCAACATAGAACAGTGGAACTTTCTCCCTCCTCCTCCATTTGTTATCTTACTAATGTCCCCTGTCCTTCCAGAAGCAGAGTGTTCACTTAGTTGACAAGTACTTATTGAGGTCAAATCATGTGCCAGGCTGAGGCGTGCTGCTGGGTAAACGAATCCTTGGAGAAGCCTCCCTGGCTCTACAGCCTGAATCAGACTCCTCCTCTGTGCACACTGGGCCAATATCTGTCATGGATTACACAACATTGCATTTTTCTTTAATTTAAATGTCTTTTTTCCCCCACTGACTGTGAGTATTGTTATCCAAATAAATTAGAGAAAATTGAGTTAAATAGTAAAAGAAATAACTTAATAGTCAAGATGAGGTCAGACAATAGGACTGCCTCAAATGCCAATAAGTGAAAAAAAAGGCCCATTGAATCCCTGGGAACAGCAAGAAGGTCTGGGTCTGGGAGTCAGATGGACAGGTTCAAAAGGTACCTCTTCTCCTTACTATTCTGTGGCCCTAGATAAACTTCTTAACTTTGTCTCATATGTAAATGTGAGTGTATTAGTTATCTATAACTGCATAACAAATTATACCACAATTTAGTGGTTGAAAACAACATGTACTATGTTTCAGTTTCTGTGGGTCAGGAATCCAGGTGCACCTTGGCTGGGTGATTCTGGCTCAAGGTCTCTCATAAGGGTCCAATCAAGTTGTTGGCAGGAGCTACAGTCATCTCAAGGTTCAAATGGGGGTAGGTCTGCTTCCAAGCTGACTCATGAGGCTGTGGTCAGCCCTCAGAAGATCCTCTTCCAAACCTATCCCCATGGCCTCTCCAGAAGGCTGCCTCATGAGATGACAGGACTGTTACCCCAGAGTGAGTGATCCAAGAGAGTGAGAAAGAATGCTCAAGACAAAAGCCACAGTCTTTTTATAACCTAATACAGAAAATGGCATCCCGTCACTTTTGCTGTATTCTGTTCATTAAAAATAAGTAAATGAATTTAGCCCTTGCTCAAGCCAAAGGGATTATACAAGGGCATGGATGTTAGGAGACATGGATCATTTGGGACCATCTTAGAGTCTGCTTATAATATGAGATTAAAAAAAAAAAAAATTCTTACATCACAAAACTGTGATGGCGATTAAATTAGATAGTGTATCTAAAATCCTTAGTGCAGAGTTGAGAAACTATTTAGCAAATTTTCTTTCCTTCCATACTGACTCAAGATATATAGCTAGAAGGGGCCTTGCTCTGTCGAGTCATAAAAGTGAATTTGTGCAGTCACAGGACTTTTATAAAATGTATAAGATTTCCAGTAATGGAGGTGAGTTAATCATTTATAAACATAATATTTTTCATATTCAGAGTTGTAAAAGTTAAACCTCAATTCTCCTTATTTGATGGAGAAAAATGTTGCTGGCACTGGGCTGCTTTTCTCTAATCGGTGAGATGTTTGAGTACAGAGACTTGTAGGCCTCAGGTCAAAAATGCAGTTTTAATCTAGTGCAGGCCCTGGTGGCACTTTGCTCTAAAGCATCCAGGTGCTGCCTGTATTATTAAGCACATGTCAGTCCATTAAAATGCATTTATGACTGAGAGAGAGGCTGGTAAAAGCTGCCACGTTACCCAGCTACAGAATGAGAGAAAATCATCGGTTATTTCAGAACTGTCTCTCAAAAAACGAAAGAAGTAAAAGGAAGTTCTAAAAATGTGCTGACTGTGTTCCTGAAGTCTGCCTCAGAAAACCCTTGCTTGATTCTTTCCCCAAGAAGAATTTCCTGAATTTTGGAAAATGTGACTTCTATTTTTCTTTGGACTGATCAATGTCTGCTGGCATTTTTGTACCTGGGGCAGAAAGACAGAAAAACAAACAAAAAATGAAACAAACTAAAACAGTTTTCTCCTCTCTTACGTTTCTGAGAAAGCTTATTTTCAAAGTACTTGAGATTATATTGGCTTTATAAGAGATGAAAATCTCATATGAGAAACTTGAAAGTAATGACCCTTGTCTCAATAATTTTCAGGGCCAATGGGGTTACCCTCGTCACATGGTACATCACAGAAAACAGAAAGTAACACCACATTTCATTAATGGAACAGAGAATCCAAATATTTAAAGATTTGAGACTAGTTCAGGTGTTTCTCATATCCTAGATCTGAAACAGAAGGTAACCCCATGGAAAGGGAGGCACATAGATGCGTGGCACATTCACTCTTGTTTCAAGAGCTTCGTGCAGTGTGCATAGCTTTTTGGGGGGGTTATTTTGAGCTTTTGGCATTGGAGATCAGGGAGAGAAGTGCAAACTAAATGCATCCTCCAAATAGAAGGCATCTGAATTTAGTTGTTCTAGGATGAAGTTTCAGGAAGATGAAGGACAACAGTGTAACCCTTTCCTTGTATTTTTCTTTATTTTCTATTTCTTCTATCTCCTTTCTTGAAAGCCTCATACATGTGGTTATGAGGACAAGTTGAGGACATCCTTTCACTGTAAGCGATGTTAGAGAAGAATCAACAATCATTGCAGGTCTCTTTCAGTTCAGGCATTGTGCTAGGACCTTGTTATATAATACTGCAGGAAAAAACTCATGAAACTTTTAATGTGATTATAATTATACCAACATGCACAGGAGGAAAGTGAGAATCAGAAATTAAGTTAAAGTGACCAAGATGGTGCTCCGACCCAGGCCTTTCCTTTGGATTCCCAAGTTCATGGTCTTCACAGTGTATATTGCTGCCACCCACATTCATTTTTTATACTGTCAGTTGTTTAAATAGTTCAAATGTAAAGAAACTCTGCTTTCGATGAAAGATCTGCAGACAAATGTACAATAGGCTATTAAGAAAAGTAGGCTATTTGGGATCTAAAGGTGGATCTTCCCAAAACATTGGTGGCTCTGGTACTGACAGATTCTTGGGTTGGGTGGATTGACACAAGATGGTGAATCATTGTCTTTATAGACTTCCAGTCCACTTTAACTGAGGTCGCCTGTATAATATTAGAAAGTAAAACATGCATATCTATATGTCAACACACGCACACACACCAATATTCACTGAGTATATGTGAAATAATTTTTCCAGACCTTTTTTAATGCTCAGTGCAGATTCCTCTGCAAGATTATCATCTAAGCACTAAAGGTACTAAGTGACATGAGGTGCTACTAAGTGTCTATCTGTTTTCAAAGACTTTGCCGTGTGTTGCACAGGTTTCCCATTCTAGTCACCCCTGTGCCCCAAACCTTACCTGGAAATCTGGGGGCTGCACAGGTGCAAGGAAACACTTTCAAGGGGTCCTGCTGCACAGTGAGCCTTGACATTTCCCCTTCAGGAATCAGAATAGCCATTTAGGCAGATCTTAAATAAATGAAGAGACACCTGGAATTCCTACCTTCTGCATTTTAAACTCTTGATTCTTCCCCATTTCTCGTGAGGTCCCACATGTCACGGGGACCACTTTGTCTCTCAAGGCCACACCTGTTTGTTGAGCATTAGAAACTATGTTCTATTTTTTAATGAAGAATATGGCTGCCGTCTTAAATACTCTTATAGAGAAGCTTCGAGTGGAGATGGATATTGTCCGAACCAATCTGAAATGACTACTGAGAAAACAAGAAATTGTATAAAGGTGAAGGAGACCACCTCATTCATTTCTTTGGAGAATCAGAGTGGAGCATTTTGGATTTTATGTGAAACATTAAATAATCTAAAGAAAAAGCTGGCACCACTATAATTGTTTTGAAAGTGAGCTGACATTTCAATGTTATTTTTGTTTTTCTAATGGGACAATGCTAGGAATGAGAATAGGAAGAAAGAGGTCTGGGGGCTTCAGTCACTAAAATTTGAAGTCTTTTTTTCTGGTGTAGCGCTTCTCAAATGTCACTCACTCAAGAGCGAGTCTGGGCAAAGAGCCTAAACTCAGGCGTTAGCGTTCAGGGCTCCAGTCTAGATGTGCTCTGCATAGAGGCAGGGTGTGAGTGAGTCTTGTTCTAGCAGATCTCACTGTCCTCTTTTGCTAAAGGAGAGACTTGGTCTAGAATTACTCACGTCCCTTCTAGCCCTTTACATGAGTTCTTGCAGGAAAACAGTAAGTCAACCCTGTCCCTTATTATCTTCAAACAACTCATCAACCTAAGGGTCTTCTTTAGAAAAGGGGGTAAGTGGCCTTGATTGGGAGATATGCAACACCAAGCCCCCTGCCAGAGGTTATGTATT